CTGATATATCTCTATAAAGTTACCAGGTGGATTTTTTTAAAACCTCTTAGATAAAAAGTTATAGCCATTTAAAAAATGAAACACTTTGTGTAACTATTGAGTATAGGCTTCCAGCACCATATTAATTTTAACCAGAACTATTTAAGATTCTTTTAAAGCAATATTCAGAGAACAATTAATATTTCTTTATTTATGCTTACTACTTTGTTTTTTCAAAATAAGAAGGTATAGAATATTAGTAAAAATATTACCAACTTCAAAAATTTGCAAAAATATATAAATAGAAATACTTTTTGTCACTATATTAGTGATTTTAATAGTTATATTCAAGCTTTGAAGTTATTTTATTTCATTTTGTCAAATCAAGTTATGCAAAAAAAAACCATATAAAATTATATATATATAATATTAAAAGTCAAGAATTTATTTATAAAACTATATTCATTTGAGAAATATGCAAATGTTATAATACTGGCAATTGTACATACTATTCTTAATATTTCTGTAGATGATTATAATGATACTGATAATAATAGACAGTTAGATTATATTGATCTTTCATTACAGGCTTATTAAATCTAAAACAAACACATTATAGTTTTTATATTTATATGCTATATATATAAGTATGGATATTAACATTATATAACAAAATATTAGATGATTTTTTGAATATTATGATTAATATATTTATTAGCAGAAGTTTGAAGATTTCAATATGTAATTCTGAATTTTATATCTTCAACTTCTTTTAGTATTAAATAAAACAATAACAATAAAAGAGCTCTTTAAAGATGTATTTGGTATTAAGTATAATTCAAATTATACATTTTAGCTTCTTAGTATTAATTTAATATAATATCAAAACTTAAGTTTTAATATTCTAACATAGTGCAGGATTTACGTTTATCACCTGGCATAGTGTATAATAATTGTACAAAAGCTTTATAGAATCTCTTTTTTTTTTTTTTTAGATAATTGTCATTTTACTATTTTATTTAAGTCAAATCTTCAGATATTATAGTATAACAACTTTAGACTTTAGATGAGAAGATATTAAAAACTGAATATAATAAAGTCAAAAAAGCATTTGATAAATTAAAAAATTCATACAGAGAAAAGTTTCTTATTAAGAACTAAATTTTTTTTATATATACAAATAAACCAAGGATAGCAAATTTTTTAAGTTTATTAAAAGAAAAAAAAATTTGATTTATAGTAAATTGTGAAAACTTCAAAGATTTTTATAGGTTTATATTTTCTAGCTATACTAAATTTTCTGTAGATATAAAGTTTATAACTTGTATTTTAAAATATCTTTATATTATTATATAAACTTTGATATTTGTCTACATAGCCAACAATACAATAAATGCCAATATTGCAATAGATTATAAGCTAAAAACAGTTAGAGAAATAGAAGAGAAAACTGCTAAAGAAATATGCAAAAAAGGTCTTATTATAATAAAGATGATTTAAATAATAAGATAAATATAAAATTAGATACAAGAAAAAAATTAAAGTTATAATAATTATAAGTAAGATATTTAAAATACAAATTACAATAAAATAAAATTTTATTTTTGCTGAAAATATAAACAAAGTTATATACAATTGAAATAGTTGTAGATATTTCACAAACAGTTAATGAATAGAAGTAAATAACATGAATGAAGCTTTTGCAAGTTCATTGTCATTATATTATAGTTTATAATTTCTAGATCTAATATTATGGTATATTAATTTAGATACAATGCAATATCCTCTCACATTACAGAAGCTAAAGAAACTTTATGGGAAATATTCAAATATCAACCTTGATCAATTACACAAGTCAATTTAATGATCAATCTGGTAAATTCAGAAACCAAAAATATAGATAATGAAGAATCGAGTACTGAAGATAGTGAATTCGAATCTGAAATTTACTCTTTATGAGGTATAAAAATTTTTTCATAATATTTCCATGTTTAAATAAATTTATTTATTAATTTTATTTTTTAGACGCTTGATTGTCTTGAAAAGTTAAATAATTTTCCCAAACAAAAAAAATGGCTTTGTAAGTATTAAATCGAACTTTAAACCTATTCAAAAAAATAGTAGATGACATTAAAGATTTTGAACGAGCAAAAAAGCTTGTAGTAGACATAACAAAGTACCTTTTATTAATAGCATAAAAAAATTCAAATTTGAAGCTTTATACGTGTATTAAATAAATTTTGAATTTGGATGAAAATGTATTCATTTGAATTGAGTGTAATTTGACTTATAGCTTGTAGCGATAATTAAATAAATTCCAATAAGTTGAATAAATATAATAAAATAAAATAAAATAAACTTTGATTATTTCTTCAAAAATCTTGTAATCTTGTGATTCTATTATTCTTGTATGCAGATTGAAATTTAAAAAGCGCATTAACATCATTGCTGATCACACATAAAAATTTTGGCCTCGATCAAGGCTAAAATAATTAAAATTTTTAAAAGTCATGATTTCTACTATGAAATATCAATCATCATATTTATTATATAAAAAATAATCTCCAGGACCATCTTATTATTTATTGATACAGCTAAAGAAATATAAAAATTCCAATTACAGAATTAACAGGATATAGAAAATTTTATGTCTATATTTTTTAAATTCTGATGATCTAGTCAAGATTCGTTTAGAACCAATCGAGACCAAAAGAAAACCTTCCAAAAATCCCTTGCCTTTCTCTATTTTAATTTTATTATCACAAACTCCTGATCCCTTTTGATTATTAATCTTACTATTTTGCATTGTTAACATATATCTATTAAGCTGTTTCACCCCATCACTAATTATTTTTATGTTTACTTCTTTACATTTCTTTTTCTCTTTACACCAATAAAAATACTTTCTATTTAATAATTTATTTTCGGTTTCTCTTTCAAGTTTTGCATCTAATTTCATTAACGATTTATAATCTGGATTATTAACTCATCTTCCTTCTTCTCCACTCAGAAGACCTACCAATGATATACACTTCAGTTCCAATATTATGCTTGAATTTAAACCATTTCCATTTACTTCATTAACGAAAATATCAATAAAGCCAAAGCGACCTTCACCTGATATTTTTGAACTATCTATTACGAGACGTAATTTAGAACACCAATGTTTTGTGGGAAGTAGTAATTCGACTGTGGTCTGAAACGCTACTTCATTATATTCCCTAAACTTTCTAAGAGATTTTGCTTTATAATAATTCAAAACCATATTAAGAAATGTTGAAATGTTGCCTTCTAACTAGAGATAGGTTTCATGCGTGTGCATGATTTCTCAATCGTGTGCATTAATGCATATTCATGCGCATGATTTGGAATTATGTGCATTTTATCCTATCTAAATTTTATATAGAAAAATTAAAGTATATTTAATTTAGACCAAGGTGTATAATGCCAGGCAAAATTAAGAAATAGGAATACAGAAAGTTTGAAAAATTCTAAAAAAAAAAAATAAATGAACATAATTATGAGAAGGGTCAGGGAAAAATTTTTGCCAAATATTCGATATTTTCCGGAGGAAAAATATAAAATTATATCATGCAATATCATGCGCATTTTATGTAATGTGCACATGTTATTATAAAATACGCATTTTTCTCATCTCTACTTCTAACATTGCTTCATATCTGGTATATTCATCATTGATAGAATCGTTACATACAAAATTTGACTATTTTAATAAAAAAAATTAGAAATCAAGTAAGAAATTGATTAATTAAAAAGAACAACTAGGTACACCATATTCAGTTAATTTTAATACTTGTTAAGATATGCAAAATAAATATAAAATTTTCCAATAAAGTAAGGATGATCAGACATATACTACTGGACATAACCAGTAAAAAATGTACTAATTCGGCTAACTTTCAAGGGCATATCTTCCTCTGCGCTATCCCTACTAATATGAAAACCAATCCTCATGGGATAGGCAAGAAGTAGCCTCATTCAAACCCAAACATTATTAATGCTATCCCTTACATAATGAGAACTAATTCTCATTCACTAGAATAAATAAAATATTGCTCATACCAAAAAGGCCACTGCACAAGATGACCATAATAACAAGTATAATATAGAAAAAAAAAATAAATCAATATCTTACTTTTCCATCTAGTTTTGATACGAATTCTCTTATCTCTTCTAAAGTTTTAGAATCTTTTTTTATTTTTAAAATTATTTTAAAAAAACACTGATTGTAAACCTCTTTTTTGGATACTGTATAATTATTCAGAATCCAATTTTCGTAATGCTCAAGTGACTATTCGTTGAATGTAAAGGTATAAAAATATCTGGCATATAGCCACTTTAAATTTTTTATGTCTTGAAGAACAGGAATAAGTTTTTCACTTGACAATTTTCTATAAAGAAAGAAATTAAATAAGTTATACAATAAACTAACTATATACCAAATCTATATACCATACATACTAGTATTAATTTCGGCGATTAAATTTAAAAGTGTTACAGTAGACCCCACTTTTAATTTACAGTCGATTAAATCTCTTCTTTTCAATAGAAGAAAGTTAGAACCTGAAATTTTTTGACTTCTCAAGCATGAAAAATCTTCGTCATCAAGATTTAATTCTTGATTTCTTAAGAATTCTATTAATTTAGGAGGTGTGTCACTTCGGGCTAGTGTTCCGT